TTTTTTTGGCTAAATTTATAAACTGAGACCACTGATTTATAAATCAAAAATTTTACCAAACAAGATTTTATTTGAGTTTTTTAAATTTTTGTAAATATAAACAGAAAATTGAAAACGTAGTGTTACCAAACGGTACCGTAATGTTTTATACAAGAGAATTAGGTGGAAGTTGCAAAAAACAATTCTAAATACATGGGGGTGTATATGTCCATATATTGTAATTTTTTTCCCTAACTCCTATTTACATGTAATTTTCTCTGTTATAATTTTTTTTAAATTATTATTATTATTATTATTATTATTATTTGATGTAGAACTATTTAAAAGATTTTTTAGGTTAGGCAAATGCTAGCAAACACTTTATTAATTTTTAGAAAGTTAAGGGAAAAAAAAAAGAGTAAATTCTAGATCGAAATTTGTGAATTGTGCTTTTTTTTATTTTTTATAAACCTTGAAAAAGTGTAAAATGACCAAAAATAATTTTAAGATTTATAAAAAAAAAAAGATTGAATTTTGTGATAAATGTCTTGAAAATTACCTTCTTCTTTTTTTTCTTTTTTTTTTGGTGTGTATCTAAGGTATATTTGTTAGTACGACATTTTATTTTAAGGAATGAATTTCTCTCAAATTGAAATATAAAGTTGAGATAATTTGTGAAGAATGTGAGGTCCATCCCAAATCTCACTTCGATCATTCCAATGGTTTATTTCGTAGGACTCTCAATGTATTAGATTGATTAGATAATGATAATATTTTCATTTTAAATAGATGATAATATATTTTTAAAAATAAATTATTCATTTTTTTTTTTTGCACAAACACAACAAAATAAAAAGATTACTATTATCAAATGGACTTAAAAGAAATTTGTGCGTGTGTGGGGTTTTTTTTCTAAATCAAATTTTCAATTCATCCTCCCTCCCCGTCCTTTTCCATTGTCAGTTACCACATCGGTCTATCCTCCATAGTAGGTTATCAATATCATTGCTGACAATTCATCAAACATATTTATCTATTTTTGTTATTATTTGTTTTTAAAATATTTTGTAGAGAAAGTATATCGAACAAAAAGCTTGTTTTGTATTTTTTTTTTAATTTTTTAAACAATAAGCTCATAACGTTAAAAGAAGAACCCATCATTTCCATATCATTTTTAGTTTTATACAAAAACAAGTTTTGAAAATTCAAAAACAATTTAATTTTTTATTCCTAAAAAGTGAGTTTAACCAAACAAGTTTATTTTTCAACTTGCATAATAAATATATAGGACTATTCAATAATTTTCCCTATTCAAAACACAAGTAAAAATCACTGTTCACCTTCATGATTCACAAAGTTTCATTTTTGCACATTATGATTCTTGTTGTGTACCTTCTTGGCCACTAAAACTTTTTTTGTATTTCTAATGTTCATTTTAAATTTTGTTTACTAAAAAAATAATATATTACATATGAAATATCAATAATTATTGCGAGAGAATAGTTATTTTATAAGAAATGATTATTTCAATCCAAATTTTTGTCTACCAAACACTACCTTAGGATTTCTAATCCTAAACATGCAAGTTAAAATTGCTTGACCCTGAAGATGTTAGACATTCAATAAAAACTTACCTGTTTTCAAACTCCTATTACCAAATGTTACATTATAGGAAAGAAGACAGAGCAAGACAAAGTAAGCATAGCAAATGATTACTATAACATTATTCCAAGAAATATCACTATTTTGATAATATGATAAAGACAAATCAAACATTGTCAAATTAAAAATAAAAAATAAAAAAAAGAAATCAAGGCAGTATAAATTTTCTTATTCCCAATCCAAATACAAATATAGAATCAAACTGTAGAAATACACACAAAATTAGGATAATTGAAGTTTCTTACGCTGTGTTTAGTTGGTGCATTTGGGGAGAAATTTGGAAAGGGAAAGGGAAAATGTGTGTAAAACTAGATGAAATGTAGGTATGTTTTATTCACATTTTACCTACCTTTTTCATTTTCCTTTCCAAATCCCCTAACCAAACACAACATTAGAGTTCCAAACACTTTTTATTCCCATTTGCTCCTAATCACGAGTGTGCTTGAAATCATAGGTTAGTGCCACACTTCCATCCATTCTTTTCAACACAAATCTCTCAACCAAGACATAGCAACCAAACCTACTCAACCCACCAACACCAATGCCTGCATACTGCTCTGTTTTATTCACCATCGCTTGCCTTTTTTTCCTGCTAATCCACCCTCCTCTCTCTTGCTCCCATTTCATTCTGTCAACAATTAGCAAGCTCAACCCAATATTCACTTCTTCTCCTATACCAATAAAGCTCGTAAACCAAGTCACCCCATTCATCACACTATTCTCATCCCACACTGTGTCTCTGCTCGCCATAATGACTATTTCTGTTTGTACTGCAACATCCAAAGACACAACATTCCCTTCACTGTAATCATTTTCACAACTGAATATTTGCTCCCATCTTTGCTCAAGTGTCATCTCATAAAACATTGATCTTTTAATCTATTGGACCATTTTAATATCTTTTATTTATTTATTTTGTTCATGAATCTTCTTTTGTCTTGTTCATGAATCTCATTTTGTTTGGTGAATGGGGATTCATGGTTTTTTGGTGACCTTTTTCATGAATGGAGATTAATTGGAAGTTCATGGACTTGGTGATGAGTTAATATTTGGAGACTCTCCATTTTCTCTAGTTTAATGGTCATTATTATTTTTTGGTGTAAAGTGTAAGGTCCTAGTGGCTTATAAATAGTTCCTCTCATCTATCTTTTCTACACCAACTATTGTTTATATTTGAGAGATTATTAGCAAAGAAGGGTGTTTTTCTTGGTGGAGCTTTGGGTTCACCATCTTGTGCAGAGTTGGCCTAAACCATACGACAAGTGGTCGGGCTGTTGTATCCTAAAGTTTTCGTGACTGCTATATCGGTATTTGGATTCTTCCTACCGCAGTGGGCTTGATCTCCTTAAAGAAAACGAGATATCTGTGCCTCAGCCTGATCTATTTGTATCTCATTTTCTTTGCATTATTTATCAATAAAATATAATTTTTTCTGGTATTTTCACCAACGATTTTAAGGAGATCAACCATGGAACAAGTACCAGAAAAATCAATGATAGAATTAGAGATCTCAACAAGCCTTTCAAGTTTAAGAGAGTTTATTTTAAGAGGTGGAAAGGAAAAATTCTTTTTTACTTCAGCCTTTTGAAAGTTGCTTATGTTCTTACCGAGAAGAACCCAAACAAAATCCCAATCGATGAGATGAATGATGAAGACTACGAGGCACATGAAGCAAAAGTAGCTTCCTATAATATAGATGAGTATAAATGTCATTTTTATTGCTTAAATTTCCTCGCTGATTAATTTTATAATTATTACTATGAGATTACTTACACTTTGTCTTCTATTAATTTTTAGTATGCTTGCTTGTATTATATTAACAGTAAATATGTGGGAATCATGAGTAGTTTATGATTAATTCCTAAAGTGACAAAAAAAAGTGAGAAATGTGAAGTTTGCAGTAAAGAAAAAATTACCAAGAGGCCTGATGTAAGCGTTGAAAAAAATACCAAATTGCTAGAATTATTTCATATTGATTTGTGTGAGTTTGAAAGAATTTTAACTCGGGGTGGTAACTGATATTTCATCAATTTTATTGATGATTTTTTAAAATATACAAACGTATATTTATTAAAAAATAAAAGTGATGCTTTTGAGAAATTTAAAGAATTTCTTCTTGAAGTGGAAAATTAATTCGGTAAAAAGATTAAGAGAATTAGAAATGATAGAGGCCGGAAGTATGAATCTCTTGGATTAAACTCTTTTGTTCAGTCATTGGGTATTATTCATGAGACTACTCCACCATATTCACCTTCATCTAATGGTGTAGCTAAAGAAAAAATATAACATTAATTGACTTGACGAATGCTATACTTATTGATTCAGGTGCTCTCTCAAATCTTTAGGGCGAGACTATTTTGACAGCTTGCCATGTGATAAATAGAGTGCCACAAAAACACTAAAATTGTACCTTATGAGTTGTGGTAGAGGCATAAACCAAATCTAAGTTATTTGAGGGTTTGGGGTTATTTAGCTTTTGTGAGGCTTGCAGATCTTAAACAACCTAAATTAGGTGAACGAGCTACTACTGTTGTTTTTCTTGGGTATGCATTGCATAGTACAACTTATAGATTTTTTGATATGGAAAATAATATTATTTTTGAATCAGGTGATGCTATTTTTTATGAAAATAAATTTCCTTTCAAATCTAAAAATAATGAGGGTCAAATAATTTCTGAAAATATTTTATTCATGCCTAGCTCTACTACTTCATCTCAAGTTTTTCAAGAACAAGAAAATTTTCAAATCCAACCAAGAAGGTGTAAACGAGCTAGAGTTGAAAAAGATTTTAGCCCTGACTATTATCTTTACAATGTGGAAGAAATTCCTCTTATAGTGCAATAAGCTTTATTATCACCTGATGTTATTTTCTAGGGAGAGGCTGTAATTGATGAGATAGATTCATTACTTTCAAGTAAAACATGGTGTAGACACCCCATTTTTGGCAGCCCATAAGACTTGGGCGTTACTGATGGTTTACTTGGTGATAAAAGGTGTGCAGGGCAAAGATCCAGTTTCTTCAGCAAGGAGAGAGACAAGTTTCAAATCCACACCCCGTTTTGGACCAAAGCTATTTTGGATGGTTTTTAGACCTTAAAACCCTCTCTTTCAAAACTTTTTTTTGAAATAAAGTTTCTGGTTGTTCCGAGGCTCGCATTTTGTCAAACGTTGCGCTTTTCAGTAAATCGAGCAGGGACGAAGTGGAAATGAATGAAAGAGAGATGAAATCTCTAAAAAATCTTTCAAAACACCTTGCTTAGGGGTTTGAAGTTGAAGAAAGGAAGGGAAGAGAGAAGAAACCAAGTTGGAGGAGAAGACAGGCATGAATCCGGGTAGAAAGGAGTCGAGCAGTCCTCGCTGAATCGGGCTTATTAATCTGTATACTTGGATTTTAGCTATGGGGCCACCACCGTCGGAAAGCTCACTTCCGGGGCTTCATTTTTCACTCAAGAATCTCTTAAAGCCAAGTCCGGGTGGGGGAGATATGATCAGTTGAAGTTGGGCATCATCCCGGTTGGATCGAATCTGCGCGGCTTCACCAAAAAGGGCATAACTTTTTGCACAAGAGGAATTTTAATGCAAGGTTTGCGCCATTGGAAAGCTAACTTCCGGGGCTTCAATCTAGACACCCACCGGCCACTCTTTGACCTTGGAATCATCTGTCGGCAATCTATTTATCCGACCGGAAATTTATTGTGCCGACC